CCTGTCTAGTGATGCGGTTCCGCATCCATGCACTGGAAGTACTCAAATACCATGGAGCCATGACCTACATAAATTGACCCCTAGGCCATTAGAAGCAAAGGGACGGTGCCATTACGTCGATTCAATCGGATATTCATTGAAAAAATCTTAAAGTATGCAGCATTGATGGTTTGTATCAACATTTTGGCTTGTCTACCAGCGCAATATCCAGACGATGTGCCGCTTTTCCTCTACGGATTATGTTGGGAAGTGCTCAGAGTATTCCGTTTACTCATTCTTTTCCATTTCTTTTAGCTGAAGTTCCCACAATTCCTCTGTCACTGGTAAGACGGCTCGCATACAAAAATGTCAATGCAATATTCTTGTAACGTTGTTATTGCTGTACTTTTCTGTGTACTCTCCATTCAGGAGAGTGTGTCAACTACAACCAATAACTATACAGGTTACGGTCCCATGCTTTGCTTGACGTCTGACACATTCGACACTGTTTTCAGCTGTTTATGCACGATTAAGGTCTTGTACGATTCACGCTCAATGCTTGGTCATGGGCGGCTTTAAAAAAAATTGTGGCTTTGCCATGGAGTTCGTTCCTTGAGTCATTTGCATTATTAGGTAACATTGCATAATATATCATTATCATTATGTTATTATCATATTAGATTGCATGCGCATATGTGTACCGTGATGTAAGCCGTTATAGCGTAGCAAACGTTACTTGACTTGAATTTGTTATCATTTCAGAATTTTCGCCAGTGTGGAGCAGACCACCATTAAACAGTTAAATGATAGTTATCTACCCTCTGTCACTCATGATATCACCGCAACGAAAGTTACATCCATTCTGTATTCGGCGGGGTAACCAAGGGACTCGCAGGGTGTTGGTCAAATGAGGAAAACTGAAAAAAGTCAGTGATCAGAGAATGCTTCACGCCTTGTAGCAGACGGGGGCGCATCAACACGGGACGACTACCGAAAATCACCACGAAGATGATGAGGACACCAGTCAGCAACGGAGTTCGATGCACATTCCAAATGCAGGAGGCAAACAGCTTGATGCCGTTAGAACACGTTAGATGAGGTTTCACAGGAAAGGCAGAGACAGTGGGAGCTCACAATTACAATTGAAACATCTCTTCATTCAGAAAGAAAGACGAGGAGTTGGTTGATGAAGCCGCAAGGTGTTGATTGGACATAGTTGAACTCTCATCAACGAAGTGCCAGGGCTCCGGAATTCTGATCCTCTGCAGGTGGAAGCTATTCTACTCAAGTGTCGATTCTATGACATACGCTGAGGCCAATGCAGATGATCTGATAGAACCCAACCTACTTGACAGAATCACTGATTGGAAGCCTGTCAGCAGAAGGATGGTAATCCTCCGACTGAAGCTACAACAAGCTAAAGACCTTGCAACAGGTCCATGGCCCAATTTGAAGGAAAATATGAGTCCTTTCAGCAGAAATAGAAGATAACCTGTACGAAGTGCCGATTCAGAAATCCGTTATTGAAATCCGATTTTAATGAGCATGACCGAGCAGACACTGCAAAGTGGAAAGGAATGAGCGGTGAGACGTCCTTTGCAGTTTTTTGCAAACAACATGACGATTATTGTGAACACCTTTATCGAGCATCAAAACGTGCCTCACTCTACCTAGCACAAGGAAGTTGGTGCATAGAATTCAATGCGTGATTTTATATCTTTTTGTATCGTTTGTCTTCCATTGGCAAACACTGCCGAAAAGAACTGTTGGAACAGTATTTCCAGGACTGATGATAATTCGTGTGACTTACGACACTCAGTAGTATATGTTCGCGTTAAAAGAGGCACAGAGCTATCAATCAATCATCATCTTGTTGTTGGCATCCTCTGCTGTAAACGATTGGGTCCCATGCGAAACCCAGATGACAGAATCGACTAGAGAATCAAATTGAAAACATTTTTTTCTGAGGGAAGGAGAACAAAACTCTCAAAACAAAATCGAACGATGGCCTGAACAGATCCCGGTGATTATCGCTGATTACAAATTCAGTTCAAGCTCTTTAAAACCGACTAACATGGGGCTGCCGCCGAATGCTGCAGCTAAATGCGGGTTGACCTTCTGCCCCAGGATCAGAATCAAATTTCTTGGTAGATAAGAGAGGATCAACTAGTTGTCAGCGAAAACATGACTCAATTCAAGAAGTGGCTTGTAAGTAAAGAGCTCTAAACTGGAATGCCATATGAAGTTTGCGAGGCGGAAGCAAATGCAGTCCTCAATTCGATAGCCCATTTCTGGGAAAACTTAGGTGAGAGTCAAATTTCCAGACCGCAAATGAGGTATTGAAACTGAAGAAGAAGATAAGGAGAAATGTGATATTTTGCAAACCATCCGTCGCCTCCAAAATAGAAACAAGAATAGTTCAAGAGTTCTGAAGGATATGTTTGGATGATTCTTTTACCAAGAATGATGACAATCGTCGGCGATGGATACCGTATTTTGAGAAATTCTTCAATCCTGAGCAATCGCAGGAAGACTGGCCTTTAAAGCAGGAGGCGCTACTTGAAAGGAGCAGAGTTTCAGATATAACAAGAGCTGCGTGACTACAAGTGCGGAGAAAGCACCTTCGACCATAGATTCGCCCTATGCCAGATTGTTGAGAATTTGGGGCAGTTCCCTAAATCAGTATACATATGCTCTGTTGATCAGGAGAAAGGCTATGACCAGAACCTGAGCGAAAAGTTGTGTGGGTGCCTGAAAACTCACCGGATCAAGCCCCACCTGCTACGGGCCATCAGTCATCATATGTTTATAGCAGGCAGGTGCTGAGTCAGAGTAAATGGAGTTAAGTCGAGATCTTTAGCGTTGGCATTGGTGTGCGCTAAGGTTGCGTTCTGTCCCCTCTCCTGTTCGTGTTGTACACGGAGGCAATAGTCAGAAGCA